CAATCTTAATCTATACGGCTCTAAGCACCTCTGTCTCCCTTGCTCCTATGGTCCATTAAGTCCCATTTAAAGCATTCAACTGCTTTCCTAATCCAAAGTCCATGTTCTGCCAACAAGCACTATGCTCAGGCCTATCATAAAAATACTCCATTCCCTGATACCACTTTCTGTCTTAGTCACTGTTCTATTGTTGTGAAGAAACACCATGACCAAGGCAGTCTTGTAAGAGAAAATTATTACTTTGGGTTACAGTTTCAGAGATTTAATCCATTATCATTGTGGTTGGAAGCATAGCAGCATGCAGACAGACACTGGAGCAGTAGCTGAAAGCTACATCCTTATCCATAGGCAGAGAAGGAGGAGAATATGAAGTCAGTGGCATGGGCTTTTGAAATCTTGCACTCCATTGCCAGTGGCACATTTCCTCCAACAAGGCCACACCTCCTAACCTTTCTTCTTCTTTCAAATAGTGCTACTCCCTGATGACTAAACACTGTGAAACATGAGCCAAAAAAAGAAAGAAGAAATATATGAGCCTATGGGGGGGGGCATTCTTTTTAAGAACACAAAAAAGGAAGATAACATACAAGCCAGTTAGCAGCATTCCTCCATGTTTTTTCCTTCAGGTCCTGCCTTTAGATTCCCACCTTGAGTTCTTTCTTTGACTTCCCTAAGAGATGGATTATAACTTGCAAAGTGAAATAAACCCTTTCCTCCTAAGTTGCTTTTGGTCAGCATTTTATCACAGAACCCACGAAACAAACTGGGACAACTCTTTCATGGCACTTATTTGAAAGGATACTTTACAGTGAGAGTATAAATTCTAGACTTAGAACCATAGACCAAAGGTTCAAGGAATTATCCTTTGAATGACAGAAAGCCACATGGGCTACATTCTCCAAAACAATGGATGTTCTCTGGCTCTCTGCTCAGCTCTGGAAGAACTCTGGAATGGGCATCCACAAGGAACATCCTTTATGTCATTGTTTCTTTTTTTTTTTTTCAGTGAGCTATGGCCTTTGATCTGAAGCACTGAAGCCAGAAAATTAGAGGAAGGATTCAAAGGTGCTTTCAGTGTCTAAGGTAAGTATTCTGAGTTAGCAGTTAGGGAACCCATCCACTTTAGAGCAGAATTGGCCCCACAATGTCCATCTATAATGTTAGAACTTGGATATTGGGATGTACATATGAAGAATGCCTTTTTATCTTTATTTGATTCCCTAATACTTCTGGAGTTTAATACTAAAAAATTACAAAAAATAAAAACAGACTAGCAAGGGCAAAACTCTTATGCAGTGTTAGTAACTGATGTATAGACATTGAAGAATCATTTGTTTTGTTATAGTTGGTATCTTCATATGCTTTATTCTGATCTTCAAATTTTGAATTTTTAAGTGGTACTTGAAATTTTGTTACTTAGTTGTGAGAATAGCATTCTCAGATTAAGAGATGTGGACACAACACTACTAGGAATCTAGACTTAAACACAGATAAGATTAAGGCTATTACACACAGTAGGACACAAGAGGCCAAACAAAACTCTAATATGTTGTTAGTCCAGGATACCTTAGGATTGGGTAAGTATTCCTTCTCTTCCTAACTGGAGTTTTTATAAGGGGACGTTTTGTTGTTGTGGACCCATGTCATATCAGATAGTATAAAATGCTGCAAACTCTGCCAAAATCAAAGGCAAGACCCTGGAAGAAGTCTGAGGGATTACCCTTCCAAGTGTATAGGTCTCCATGTGGTGGTATCCTCTGTTGTCATACTGGTTAGCTGGGTTTTGGCAAACAGATTTTTCATACCCTTCCCTACAGTTGTCTGAAGTGATGAGAACTGATTCTGGCAGGGAGTTGAACTGGTAGCTATCAAAATGTAGGAAGTATAGCTGAATCAGTACTCCAAATAAAACCTTTGACTAAGGGCCCCAAGGAATCATGTATCTCAGAATATCAGGATTAACAAAGCCCTGCTCACTTTCTCTATGTGCCTGAGGAGGCCCTGGGCAAGACTGCCAGACTCTAATGTAAAGTGATTTCCTTCTCCTGCCAATTGAAGACATGGTAATAAATATTTTTCCAAACACATTATATCATATTCTAGACACATCCATAGGATAAAGGACATTTAGTGAGGCAGATAGGAACGTACACTCATGAACAGAGTGATCTCAACAGAACAGTCTCACCTTATTTACAGATTGTAGGGGGTAAATGGATGAATTTAATGCTTTTTAGTTTCCCCTTTGGGGTTACAGGGACACAAGTAGTGTGATAGAATATCAGTTCAAAATATCTCAAATATTATCAAGATGTGTGCTATATATCTTAAATGAACAGTGAGTGATCCGTATAGTGAAGTAGAGGAGTGATAGCACATTTACTACCCTGATACTCTGTTCATTCCTTTAGATAATTCAAATGAGGATAGCAAAAGTGTCAACAGGTCACTTCATGTACTGGGAATCGAGAAAGGCAGTAGTCATCTTCTGACATAGGTATATTTCCAATGAAGAAGACAAGCCTGATGTTTGCTTCTAAGTAAGGCTCCTCAGCAGTGTGGAGGTCACCACAACACACAGACATTCTGTAGAGTTTAGTTTCTGCCTTTGATGCACAGAATTTTAAAATACGGAGGACCTGACCACTTACTCCTAAATTTCTAAGAAAATACAATTTTAGTCTTAGGGAGCAGGGTTTTACTATTTATTCTTTCTTGTAGGACTCCTAACAATGCAAGCTTTTGGGACCCTTTTCCTCCTACTGGGTTTCTTCTTCCAGCCTTACTATGAGGAGAGGTGCCTAGTCTTATCTTACTGCATCCTGATATGTTATGTTTTGTTGATATCGCTGAGAGGCCTGCCCTTTTATGAAGGGAAATGGAGGTGGAATGGTTTGGAGGGAGAAAGAAGAAATGGGAGGAGGAGGAAAGGGCTGGCAGGAGAAGAAAAAAGGGAAACTGCAGTCAGGATGTAATAAACAAGAGAATAAATAAATAAATTTTAAAAAATAAAATTTCATAGAATTTGATCATACCCCCTACACCTCCTAGATGCAATTTCCTTCCCTCCCTACCCAACTTTGTGTTCTTGCTTTGTTTAACCCATTAAGTACTATTGGTGATGTCCATGTAGTTTTGAGTGTGTGTGCCCCGCTATCAGAGCATGCTCAACCTACCTTAGAGAAAACTGACTCCCCCTTACCAGTAGATGTCAGTTTCCTGTAGTTCCTTGGCTACAAATAGAACGTCATGCCTACCTTTAAGGGGGTTAGTTTTTCTATGGAACAGAATGTTGCCTTAAGTCCATCAGATTCCATGTTGATTAAACTCATGGAGATCATGGACCTTTTTTATTTAGAAAAAAAAATGAGTATTACAGAGCTAAATCAGGGTCTACTATGAATCCTGATAACTTTCATACTGGGTTGGCTAGGACTCATCAGGTTTTTTTTTTTCCCCCTACCAGTTTTTGCATGTGAACCTTTATAACATGTTTCTCAGAAGTCTGTTGGAAGTGGCTTTCACTAGCTGATTACCCTCACATCCTCCTTTTCTCTTTCAAACAGTGATTCCTCATTGCTGCCTTGCTGCCTACACCCTTATTTACTTCTAGTCTATTAGAGTCGCCATGTCTCAACTTCAGAAGACTCCAGAATATGCAACTGAACAAGGCCAGACCTGTGAGGAGACTCAGGGCCTACAGACTGAAGCAGTCCCCAGGGATGTGGAGTACCCATGTTCCCCTGTTCATCCTCTTATGGGTAGCAAACAGGAAGATCCTAAAGATGAGACACCCAGTACTTCTGGGGTTCTTCAGAGTCCCTGTGCCTCTTCAAGAGAATCTCCTGAGGGTCTTAGTAGCCAAGAAGAGCAGGGTAACCCAGTCAATCCACCAGGTCCACCAGCCCCCATGAATTTACCTATGATGAGTGAAGATATGAAAGTTAATTTTTTGGTGAATTACATGCTGTACAAGTATCAGATGGAAGAGATAATGAGCAGGGCTGAAATAGTGAGACTCATTGTCAGAGAAGAAGAACATCGTTTTCACGAAATCCTCATGAAAGCTGCTAAACGCATGGAGATGGTCTTTGGGCTGGATGTGAAGGAGGTAGATCCTGTCAACCACTACTATGCCCTCTTTGTCAAATTAGGTCTCACCTATGATGGGATGCGCAGTGATGAGTATAGTTTTCCTAAGACCGGTCTCCTGATAATCATTCTGGGGATAATCTTCATGAAAGGCAACCGTGCCACTGAAGATGAGATTTGGGAACTGATGAATCCAATGGGAATCTGTGCTGGGATAAATAATTTCTTATTTGGTGACCCTAGACAGCTTATAACTGAGTTTTTGATGGAGGGATACCTCATGCGCCAGGCAGTAGCCAATACTGATCCTGTGCAATATAAATATCTGTGGGGCCCCCGGGCTCACATTGAAACTACTAAGATGAAAGTATTAGAGTTTGTGGCCAAGCTACACAGGACAGACCCCATTGATTTCCCTTCTCATTTTGAAGAGGCTGTGCTAGATGAACCCATGCCATGATTTTAGACCATGCTGGCCTGAGTTCTGTTCCTGGTGCTAGTTCTAGTGCCATGGGCAGCAGCTTTCCTCATTTCTAGTAAAATCAGAGATAAATTACTCCTTAATAATTTCAGAGAATTTTTAGAGTTGAAGGTGATGATAGACCTAGGTTGATAGTGAAGGCATAACCTTATCTGTATAGTTCTAATTTGTATAACTACCATACTATTTTTCCTTCACTGTTTGTCCCTTATATTTGAACATTATTGCACATAATAGCACTGTTTAGCTTGAAATAACTTCACTGAATGCCATTCACAAATGTAATAATTAGAACTTTCTCATAACATAAAATTAATCGTGGAATATTTTCATCTCTCTGTATAATTAAATGGAGTACCAAAACATGTTTGCTAAGCTTCCACCATTTAAACAGATTTGTTCTAATTTTTGCACCTTTCCATTTCTCAGTAAAATTACATGATATATGTGGAGTTTTTTTTTCTTTATAGTTGCCAAGTGTAATAAATTTAATAAATTCTGATTCACATTTGCAGTCTTTTATTACCCAAAATTTATTTGAGCATTTACTATTTTCAGTAGTTATTTTACTTTACTAGGGTTCTAGATTAAACAACATGTAGCCCTTTCCCTTATAAATGTGTTGATTATGGTAGTATATCTTCTAATAGTTAAAGACAAATGAAAGATAGTATTTATTGGTAAATCAGTTCTTATGATCCTGTTAAGGGTAAATATCCTGAAGGAGGAAAATGCAATGCAATTGCGGTAAGGTAAACTTCTTCAGAGTGTTAGTTTTTAAGTTAATTTTTGATGTGGAGAGAACTGAGATGTAGTAAGACCAGGGCATGATAAACTCCAAAGTTGACATCCAAAAGTTGAATGCAAAACACTTTGTGGTTTTGTTTACTTAGAGACAATCTTCATGCAAAAAGTCAAAACTGTCCATCTCTGTCTCCCGTCTCGGTGCTGCTGAATGTTGATCATAAACTAAGCCTTTATTTGCAAATAATTATGGACATGTTTATAGGTAACAGAGACACAAAAGCCACTGGGTTACTACTCGCCTCCCAGATGTGTTGAAGTCTGAAAATACCCAGTTTAAAAAAACATTTTAAACAGATTATATTTAGTATGATTTGAACTGTATATAGTAACACACACTTAATTTTTAATAAAGATATGTTAAAATATTGCTGATTTAGATAAAGGGAAGCAGTTGTTCCTTGTCAAAAATTATAAGAATTTTTGTGTAACTGAAAACAATCCATTTTTCCATTTTTTAAAGAACAACACCCATGGAAAAATTACTGCAGTTTATCTATTTAGGGTAGCTGGGCTACCTTGTCTGGCCTCAGTGGGACAGGATGCTTTATCACTTGCTCTAATGACATAAAACTGACATGAAATAAGTTTCCGTGTTTTGAGAGCCAACATTTAATTTAACAACAGGTTGACAGAGAGAATGGACTAAAATTATAAAGTTGTATACTAAGAAACAGCTCAGTCTCAGGGAAATCTTATTTCTTGCTAAATAAATTAGGATTAAAGGATAATCCTTCCTCAATTTTTACTTTGGAAGTAAAGTAAAGAAGATGTATCCTTATTTTTCTCCTGAACAGCAAAAGAGGATTGCCAATCTTGATACAATAGCTGAGTCCCAACATTGCAAGTACTCATATGCAGCCATATTCTTAGATGTCTCCAGCTACCAAGTGACTATAATAGCATGAGAAGTCTCAAATGAAACATATAAAAGTAATTAAGCTGAATCAATTCATGCAATCAGTGAAAAATATTAAAATCTTATTTTTAGGAAATAGGTGAAAATATTTTTTCTTTTTCTTATTTTTAATATTTATTACAATTCAATTTGTATCCTAGCTGTGGCTCCCTCCCTCCCTCCCTCATCTCCTCCCTCCTTCCTCTCTCCCTATGACCCTCCCCTAGTCCACTGATAGGTCCTCCTCCCCTTCTATTTGACCTTAGTCTATCAGGTCTCATCAGGACTGGTTCCATTGTCTTCCTCTGTGGCCTGGCAAGGCTGCATTCCCCAGGAGGACATGATCAGAGATCTTGCCACTGAGTTCATGGCAGAGAAAGTCCATGCTCTCCTTACTAGGGACCCCACTTGGAGACTGAGTCTATGGGCTGAGCCAGGGTTTTAGGTCCTCTCCATGCATGGTCCTTGGTTGGGGTATCATTCTCTCCAGGGCCCTCAGGGCTCAATTTTTATATTTTTTGTAGCAGGTAATATGTTTTATATTCAGATCTCCTTTTGGAGCTCCTGTCCCTTCCAGGTCTTTCTATCTCCTCCTCCTTTCATAAGATTCCATATACTGTGCCCAGAATTTGGCTATGAGTCTCAGCCTCTGCTTTCATACTTCGAGTCTTTCAGAGGCTGTCTGAGGTAGGCTTCTGTCCTGTTCCCTGTCTTCTCCTGCTTCCAATGCCTATCACATTTATCCTTCGGAAGGAGGATTGAGCATCTTCCCTAGGGTATTTCTTGTTGTTTAGCTTCCTTAGGAATACAGATTTTAGTATGCTTATCCTATATTATATGGCTAATATCCACTTATAAGTGAGTATATACCATGTGTGTATACTCTGCTTCTGGGTTACCTCACTCAAGATGATCTTTTCTAGTTCCCACCATTTGCCTGCAAATTTCATGATTTCCTTATTTTTAATAGCTGAGTAGTATTTCATTGTGTAAATTTACCACAATTTCTGTATCCATTCCTCAGTTGAGGGACATTTAGGTTGTTTCCAGCTTCTTGCTATTACAAATAGAGCTGCTACGAACATGGTTGAGCAAATGTCCTTGTAAAGTTTGAGCATATTTTGGATATATGCCTAGAAGTAGTATAGCTGGATCTTGAGGTAGCACTATTCCTAAGTTTCTGAGAAAGTGCCAGACTCTTAGATGCCTCCAGCTATTGTGTGACTATAATAGCATGATATTGAAAGTCTAAAATGAAACTTAAAAAAGTAATTTAGTTCAGTCAACCAACCCATGCAACAGTGAAAAATATTAAAATCCTGTTTTTATACTATTAAATTTTAGAATGATTTATTGTGCCACAAAAGAGAATCAAACTGGATATTAAAATACTATATTCAATATTACTTTTAGTTCTTCTGATCTTTGTATTTTTTGTAGCAGGCAATATGTTTTTATATGCATGTATTATTTTTCACAAATAAGTGATATGATAACATCTACAATTTCCAACATATAAAAGCTCTGATTATCTCATCAGGCAAGAATGTGTTTACAACTTCCATTTGTGTAACTTTTGATAGAAATATCTAAATTAAAAGATTTTATCAGTTTCATCTAAAATCGGTAAATTTTAAGGTTATTTCTTTAATATCAACTCATAATTTCCCCCTTTATCATCTAACTTCAGGTAAAGAAAGCCTCTTCCTAATTTGTAGATACCCATAATTTTGTTAACCAAACTTCTCCAGAGAAACAAACAGTAAAGTCGTTCATGAATATGACCAAGAGAAACTTATAATAAAATATTGTCTATTGGCTCATGATTATAGAAACTGAGAAATTTCTCCTCTTCAAATCGAAGATTCTGGAAAGCCAATGGTGTAATGGGAAGAATAGGAATTGGATTCAGTGTGGTAAGATCAATGAGTGAGGGGACTGATCTGGGTCCCCAGAGACCAGCACACATCGGGGAGCAACAGGAGCCCATCTACTGGCCTACCCACAGCCACAGCCCACTAGCAACAGTGATGAGGTCTGTCCAGAGCCCTCTGTCCTTTACTGTGTCACCTGCCTGCTCCACACCTCAGTTCCTGGACCCATGCCATTTCCTGAGACCCTCCCCAATCTGTGACCCCAGAAACCAGCACAGACAAAGGAGTGGCAGAAAAACCAGAGGATTGCGGCCATCTGAGATCATGAGCTCTACCTACGACTCCAGAGACCTACTACTACCAGGGACCACGAGGTCTACTAACAACAAAGTCAACCACATGGCTAGAGGTCAGTGCAGTAACACAAGCAACAAAACCCAGGGCCATATGATACCACCCAAACCCAGCTACCCTACCCAGCAAGCCCTGAGGATACTATCACACCAGAACAAGAAACCAATCTGAAATCTGAGATTATAAAAAATGGTAGAGGCCTTAAAAGAAGAAAATAAATCCTTCAAAGAAATGAAGAAAAATACATCGAACAGGAAAAAGATCAAATTGCTTAAAGAAATACAAAGAATACAAACAAATGGAAGAAGGAAATGAATAAAACTGTCAAAGATATAAAAAATGGAAATAGAGACAATAAAAAAACACAATCTGAGCCAATGGAAAAACTAGGGAAGAGAACAAGAACTATAAACACAAGCATCGCTAATAGAATAAAAGATATGGAAGAAAGGCAGTCAGATGTAGAAGATACAATTGAAGAAATCAATATATTAGTCAAATAAAATGTTAAATCTAAAAAGTTCCTGACACAAAACATCTAAGAAATCTGGGACAATATGAAAAGACCAAACCTAAGAATAATCAGAATAAAAGAAGACTCTAAGCTCCAAGGTCCAGAAAATATTTTCAACAAAATTATAAAAGTAAACTCCCCCAACCTAAAGAAAGAGAGGCCTGTAAACATACAAGAAGCTTACAGATTATGAAATAGATTGTACCAGAAAAGAAAATCCTCCCATCACATAATAATCAAAACACTAAATGTACAGAACAAAGAAAGAATATTAAAAGCTTCGAGGGAAAAAATCCAAGTCACATATAAAGACATATCAGAATTATACCTGACTTCTCACCAGAAACTCCTAAAGCAAGAAGGGCTTGGGCAGATATCTTACAGATACTAAGATACCACAGATGTCAACCCCGACTACTATACCATGCAAAACTTTTAATTACCATAGATAGACAAAACAAGATATTACAAGAGAAAAATAAACAAACAATACCTATCCATAAACTCAGCCTTACAAAAGCTACTAGAGGGAAAACTCCAACCCCAAGAGGCTAATAACTCCCAAGGACACAGAGGAAATAACCACACAACAGCAAAACCAAAAGAGGAAAG